TTCTTTAATTTAAAGTGGAGAGATTTGAACGGACTTTGGAAAGGTCAAACAAGAATGGCCTTACGGTGATTTTATTTTTTTTTAATGTTTTTTTTTTTCATTCAATAATTATAATGTGGAACATCTTTAGGTTTAAATTCTACTATAAACTTTAGAATATGTTTTAATTATGTAATTACATTTTATCATTTTTATGGATCCTGTTACAAAATAATATTTCATTACTTTTTTTTAAATGAAATTGAAAAATATTAAAGACACATTTAAAACAAAATAATAAATTTATCAAAGGTGTAGGTCATGTAGCTTATTCTTATGTATAGCTTAGTCTATATGTTATACAATAGTAAAGTTATATATGGTAGATAGTTATATATAGTAATAGTTATATCTGGTAAAACTATATATAGCAAGCTAAACTATATATATATATATATATATATTACTCTGCCGTAGCTTTAAAAATGTAGTTTCTATATGTATAAAGAAGTCTCTTTGGTTTGTATTTTATGATCCGATTCTTTATATAATGTTCATTGTAATAGTCTTTACATTCTCTTTCTCGTTTTCCTTATTAAAGTTTTCATGGCATCAGTTTAGCGATTCTCAAATTGGTATGTTTTTAATTTTATGTAGCTCTTGTAGCTCAGTTGGTTAGAGCACCTGTTTAGTAAGCGGGAGGTCTTGAGTTCAACTCTCAACAAGAGCATTATTTACCATTTATAAAGTATATAACTAAGGTATGACATTAATTTGATCTAATTATTAATTTTTTTTGTTTATTTGTCGTTCAACATTCGATATATCCTCTTCTTCAAGTGGCTCTTGTAGCTCAGTTGGTTAGAGCACCCGTTTAGTAAGCGGGAGGTCTTGAGTTCAACTCTCAACAAGAGCATTGTTTTTGTTTATAAATTTAATAAATGGATTTAGTAATTAATTTTTTTTTGTTTATTTGTCGTTCAACGTTTGATACATCCTATTCTTCAAGTTGCTCTTGTAGTTCAGTTGGTTAGAACACTTGTTTCGTAAGCAAGAGGTCTTGAGTTCAACTCTCAACAAGAGCATTGCTTTTATTTGGCTCGATATTATCCTTATATTGAAATTATATGGAAAGAAGTAACATCTTAGGTGAATAATTACATCATTAACATTATGTCACCTTATCTCCAAATTGCACAAATAAGTTTCAAATGATTATCCATAAATGGAGAAGGAGAAGAAATACATGAATATCTCTATGAACGCTTCCACCATGTCAGTAAAGATGGCCATATAACCATTTAAGAAGCAATAACGTGACTTTCGAGCAAGTCTATTCCGTCTTTTATAATTCATACAAACTCTTCATCTATTCACTATTTTAGGCGGGATCAACTCTCATTTGCCATTATTGTTATCCCTCTTTTCTTAGGAACACACCGAATAGGTTTAAATTATATTTCTAAACTTTAGAATATGTCTTAGTTATGTAAAGACATTTTTAACGTTTTTATTTTAGTCATTGATCCTTGAAATAGTTTCAAAATAATCCTTTCATTAGTTTCCTTATTTAAAATGAAGATGAAAATGAGACAATATCTACCACTATTCAATAGTGTGAATAGATCTAAAAATATTATTATTCATGAAAACAATGCAGAGTTAAGAATGACAATAGAATTAGGATCGAAGTTCAATCTTCACTGATATTCGCAACCTTTAAATAGGATACAAGCTACCAACTAATACCTACAAATAAGGAAAATATAAACCAACTAAATATTGAGAATAAAATAAAATATACTATTCATCGAATCACAAAGGAAAAATATTAACGAATTACAAATATCTAATATGTATTTCATAACTAATATATTCTTCAAATATTAACCGATTATGAATATCTTGAATAATTCAAACTAGCAATAAGTTGCACTAAAATCCGATAGAAAAATAGTAAAAGACATAAAAAAGAAACACATAAATCACATAGTTCATACAGATATCAAAACATAAATAATAAAGTTATCATGGTATCAGAGCTTTATTCGGGTGCTCGGTCTCCAACCTAACCAACCTAAAATTTTAGGATTGTCCCAAAAGATTTTTCAAACCCAACTCGAGTACCCTCCAATTTTTTTTCCTTAATAAAGTTATCATGGTATCAGAACCTTAAGGTATTGGTGGTTTGGGAGTTCGCTCGTTTGACAAATTTGGAGTTGACACGTTTTTACTTTCAAGTAGCTCTTAAAGCAAGTTATTTTTATTTTGGTTCCTAAACTATCAAAATATTTATTTTTGGTTGAACTTTAAAGTTTTTTGTTTAATTATTTTTAAAAGTTAAAGTACTATAAAATAAACTTAAAAATTATTAATGAAGATAGAATTTACTTCGATAATATTGTCTTTGATCTGTATTTTATGATCCAATTCTATATACAATATAAGCTATAGCGTCTTTTACCTTCTTTTTCATGTTTTCCTTATTAAAGTTTTCATGGTTTCAAAATCCCAAGAGATATGGTTGCGTTGCTTTGATGTTTATTCGTTTACAGATTCTAGAATTGGTATGTTTATACTTTCAAGTAGCTCTTGTTAGCTCAGTTGGTTAGAAAACTTGGTTAGAGAACTTGTTCACTACTCCGGAGGTCATTGAATTTGTTTATTTGTCGTTTCAATGTTCGATACATCTTCTTTTTCAAGTGGCTCTTGTAGCTCAGTTGGTTAGAGCACTTGTTTCGTAAGCGAGAGAATAACTCATCTACTTTTTTTTTCTATGGAAAGGAGTAACTCCCTCGTTCGTGGTTTTTCTTTGTTTTCGCCCGCGGGTATTAGGTGGTAAGGTCGAAAATCGTTCTTTTTCCTCGTGGTAAACTATGATTAACTTGTTTTCTTTTTGTGCTGGCAACTTCTTTTTGTGCCTCGTCGAAATTTTTATGTCCTTTCCAGCAACCGAATTTTTTTTTTAACAGATCGTTATATAATAAACACTATCTCACCTTATTAAAGGTATATGCCTCTCTCCAAACCAGGTTAGAGGACTGCAACACAACCTTTGTAGAACCTTCTCCAAATTGCACAAATAAGTTTCAAAGGATTATATATAAACCCTTCTACCATGTCTGTAAAAATGGCCATCATACATCGTTGAAATGTTGTTGGAGCATTGCAAAACCCGAAAGGCATTTGTGTAAAGGAAAAAAATTTCATACGGGCATATAAATGTGGTCTTTTCATGAACTTCTGGACTGATTGTAATTTGGTTGTATCTCAAATCAAGCAATAATGTGACTTTCCCCCAATTTTTTTAGTAATATGTGGTGAACGCGGATCGAAAACATGCCCTCAAATCTGTAGTTAGACGCACTCCCAACTGAGCTATCTAAGTTTAACAACAATTTAATATATTCGAGTACAAAATACTCACTCTTATCATTAAATGACAAAGATTTGACATTTTTAAAATAATATGTGGTGAACGTGGACCAAACACGTGACCTTCAAATCTTCAGTTTGACACTCTCCCAAATTGTTTTCGTCCTCTTTAATACTTTTAAAATTAATACAAAAAATAGTCGAGTACAAAACTCACTCTTTACGTTAAATTACAAAGAAATGATTTATTTAATAATGTGCGGTGAACGTGGATCAAACACGTGACTTTCAAATCTTCAATCTAAGACTCTCTCAACTGAGCTATCCCCCGCTTAACAATAACCTAATATAGTCAATCGAGAACAAAACTATTTTCAACCTCTTTAATACTTTTAAAATTAATACAAAAGATAGTCGAGCACAAAACTCACTCTTTTCGTTAAAGTACGAAGTCTTGATTTTTTTTTTTTTTTTAAACGTGCACTGAGCGTGGATAAAACATGAGACCTTCGAACTTTCCAATTGAGTATAAAACTATTTTTGAACACTTAAATTAATAAAATTAATATTAAAAAAAAATACTCAACATGGATTCAACAGGCAACCTTCAAATCTTTAGTTTAACACAAAAGTAGGTTGTGACCTCCACACGCAGACAGATAAGATAGTGATCCTCAAGTGGTGCCCATCTGACCACGTGAGGGTCAAGACAGATAAGTGTCAAAACAGATAAATGTCATGATACAACTAAAGAGGATAGTGCATCATCCAACACACCAAGAAGAGTGTGAAGTAAAACCAAGGTTGGGCATATACAAGATTGGAGGCAACAATTAGACAAGAGTCATAAAAATAAGCTTGAAGAGGGTCGAGTAGGGCCCTAGACCATGACCTCAAAAGTTGGGCTCCGGCTTGAGTCTCAGCATGTGACTTTAGAGTTAGGTTCGCCTACATGAAAGACGAAAGCTCGCTAAATTTGATGTCAATCGATCACCTGACAGACACTGTACCGAAGCTGTATGACTGTTTGCCAAAATCATGTCTACTCTTGTCATACCAAAAATTCCTCAAATGTAATATAGAGAGAGAGGCATAATGTCATCTCTCCACCACCCCTAGGTCTTGTGGTCTAAGTGAGATACTCCATGACACATACATGTGTCATAGTATGGGTGAGCAATACAAGACCAGCGTTTTGGGCATCTTCTTTTGATAATAGATTTTCGAGGACAACACAAATGCAACTCATAAGTTGGATGTTGGTGCATGGGGCTGCTTCCAACGTAATATTCATAAATAACTCAACATAGACACAGGAAGGTTCATGTCTCCATAGTATTTGGATGGATGGATGTTCGAGGTATCCAGATGATAAAATCGACTCATGAGTCAGTTTTCGATAAGTATGTCCGAGTGAGTAGAGAGGATCGATGCATTTCGAGACTTGGGATGGAATCACAAAGCGTGAACATTGTTATTAGGAATCACGTTGACGAAATAAGATGTGATATTACATTCAAAGAATAGTGGCCTAAATTAGAGTCGCAACAAGCGAACATGTATGCAAGGGCGACATGTATGGCGAACAAATTTAGTTTTCACATGAGTTATGTCTAATAAATTTGTGAACGTATGGAATACTGTTCATTAAACCAAAAGTGGAGTATATATTTTTCCCACTTACAAATATTTATTACCTAACAAATGAGAAAAAAGTAAAAACAACAATATTTTGTCCGAAGTTCGATAGCAAGTCAAACCCGAAACCCGAACCAAGATCGAGACTCGAGACAATGCATAAAATGGAGAGAGTGTGAAGATCACAATCCACTAAGGCCAATAATCTTATACACAATTAGTTGGGAGAGCTCCTAAGTCAATTGCCAAATGGCTTCCCACCTTGATAATAAAGGAAGAAGCCAATTGTTTCCAATTGTACTGCAAGGATTGGTATACACTTATATTCTCCCTGGTTTCAGAGCTCCATCAATGAACATCTTGACTCCGAAACAGACTGCTATAAAGCTGTTGCATCCGATTTAGCTCGTTTTGTGTCTGGGGAAGAAGAGTTACCTTCACTCAATTCGATCGCTTCTCTTTCATGTGCCTTCTGCTTCCTACTTGCAGCAGGCGAACCATCTTCTTCTCGAGCGTTCTCCGTGGTCATACCAGCTGCAACATGACCTTGTTCTGAATTTTCGGGTTGATCATTAGGACGAGGCATGTTCTCGAGGATCGATGATGAGGTCTTTAGTTTGCTTTCCATCTTTCGTTGTTGCTCAAACATCTCCTGTAGGTACTTACCTTGTTCTTCAATTCGTAATTGTAAATTCCTTTGGATCTGCATAAGTTTACAGAATAAGAATATTTAGAGAACTCCAGGCAAAAACCGACTTTGACTGAACGAGAAACCGACTTCGACTCAAACGTAATGAACCTTCAAAAGCAAACAAAATACAGACCTCGAGTTGTTCATGGAGCCGCTTCTGAACCTCTATTTGCAAACGCAAAGCTTCAGTTATCCCCATACTCCTGAATTGTGTACAAAAGAGTTCAGCACTAAAAGACCATTCCCCAAAATTTATGTTCAGAATTTAAGTTTCCAAACATAATAAGCATGGGATTTGATTATTTACTACACAGTAACATCATTTTTTGTGTAGAAGAAATGAAAAATAACCACTGAAGCTTGTTTCTTTAGTAAGCATACAGTATGCAATCTTATGATATCAGAAAATTTAGCTACAAAATGTCATAGCTAGCTCAGAGAGTTGATTTAAACTTTAAAATAAAGAAATTGCCTCAGTTAATTTGTCTGGTGCTAGTTACTTTTTGGGTGCCTGATTTTACCACTTATTCAAGCTTAGACGAGGATGAACTTGAAAAATTCCGTATTATTATGTGAGATCTCACTTTTGTTGAAGAGGAGGACCTTAATAAGAATGTGGAAACTTCTCCCTAGCAAACGTGTTTTAAAACCTTGAGGGGAAGCCCGGAAGGGAAAGCCCAAAGAGGCAGTATCTGTTAGCGGTGGGCTTGTGCTGTTACAAATGGTATCAAAACTAGACACTGGGCGGTGTGCCAACGAGGATGTTGAGCTTTCAAGGAGGGTGGATTGTGAGATCCCACGTTGGTTGGAGAGGGGAACTAAGCATTCCTTATAAGGGTGTAAAAACCTCTCCCTAGCAGACGCGTTTTAAAATCTTGAGGGGAAGCCCGGAACGAAAAGTCCAAAGAGGACAATATCTGCTAGCGGTGGGCTTGGCGGTTACATGTTATTTGTCTTGATTACATCTATGAAACAAAAGTAGAGCCACTGAAATTAATTACAAATGACTTCCAGCCTTAATGGCATCACGGCTCAAGAGAAGGAAGAGGACTTTTATTAAACTGGTTTCATGGAAATGATCTGAAAACTGAGAAATAATAAAGAATTTGGGATGCTTCCACCGGTTTTAGACTAGTTACTTCTTCTTCTAAGTATTTTCCCTAGGGGATGGTAGAGATGTCCATAAGGCGGGGTGGGGATTTCCTGCAGGGAATTCACGGGAATGGGGTTCCTTGCGGGGATTTAGAGGGTAGGAATTGGGGGAAAACGGAAACAGTGAATATAATCTCATCCTCCGTCTAAACGGGGAATCCCCGCCCCGCGGGTTAAAATGGACATCTCTATTAGAAAACATGCCTTTCAAAAGTAGCAAAGAGAAAAACATCAAAACATGCTAAATGTTTCAAATTTTATGATTCAAACTCCGCACTCCCACTGTAAAAACGAATAAGCCAGAAGAAAATGCAGCCACACAAGAAAACATATATATTAGAAGGGAAAAAATTGCTTACGTTTTCAAGTCAAGAGACTTCATTTCCTCAATATGATTTATTTTTTTCCCTGAAGATCCTGAACAGAGGAAAAATGAATTCAACCATCGATCAGGCGGTTTTATGTTCAACAAAGATAACGACAACGATGATAAAGAAGGTAACGAAGTAAACGAACAAAGAGAAGGGAAACAGTCACCGATACCTTCTGATGACTCCGGTTTATATCTTGCGGTTCTATATTTCTGACATTTGGATCATAATAAAGCAAGACATTAGAAATAAGCATGCCGAGTAAAACCGTACAAGAATCGAAAAAATGCTGAGTACCTGTAGGTGGCTTTTGACATGATAAATGGTGAGGCCTTCAACATTCATAAGCTTTAAGACACCCTTAGGAGTTGCATCTGCCCATTAAACTATCGAGTTAGAGAAAAATTTGCAACTTTTCAAGCGTTCTTAAACAACGGTAAACACAGATGAAAGAAAGTAATATACTTTCGCTGCCGCCTAGTTTATTGACAGCTTCTACAAATGCCTCATGAAGCTCTGGTGTCCATCGCATCCGAGGTCGGTTAGTCGATGTTGAGAGTGAATTAGAAGAAACCAAATGAAACTCTGCTGTAGGTACAGAGTCAACTTGATTCGTTTGGTTCTGTGGAGCATGGAAACCAGCTGATGATGATTTGAGCAACTGTAAAATTTGCACCAAGAACTTTGGTAAAAAGTTGATGATTCTACATTTTTTGCAACAGAACAAGAATTTGAAGAAAGAAGATCGAAAATGGGTAGAACGAACGTCCATGTCGTTAACACCATTAACTAACATTATAAACTATAAGTTAGCCTGCCTTTAAACAATGACATACACATCTTGTACAAAAAGCAAAGCATTTCATAGGCATCATTCACCAAGAAGACACTCGAGCATTAAAAAACGAGTACTACACACATTATCTTAAAAAGGCCAATCATTCTAGCATTCATAACTCCAGTGGCTGTGTACTTTAACCAGAGACCAAGTTTTTCAAAGAAACGTCAAGGGCTTGATTGAACCGTACATCAGATTTTCACGTCATATGGCTCGTAATAAGTCATTGATCCTTTCTTTGTTTAGGTATACACTCCTCTCTTCCATTACATCTCATTGAATGATCAGAACCAGTTTAGTCACGTATTCATTTGTTTCAGGTTTTCGAGTACAGGTACTCTTCTAATGTCATTTGGAATGTGAGATCCCACATCGATTGGAGAGAGGAACGAGTGCCAGCAAGGACGCTGGGCCTCAAAAGGGGGAGGGTTGTGAGATCCCACGTCGGTTGGAGAGGGGAACGAAGCATTCTTTATAAGGGTGTGGAAGCCTCTCCCTAGCAGACGCGTTTTAAAAACCTTGAAGGGAAGCCCGAAAGGGAAAGCCCAAAAAGGACAATATCTGCTAGCGGTGGGCTTAGGCCGTTACATTGATATAGTTCCCTCTTTCTTTCTTTCCTTTGTTTATTCCCTTCCATCCTTCCTTTTTAAGTCTCATACATTTTATAGGCAGAATCTAACCTGTTTTTTGTTGAGCAAACATACCCACGAAGAGAAATACACTACGGAAGAGTAAGATCGGGCATAAAAAAACGAAAGAACAAACCAACCTCTGGTTTAGGATCACCTCCATTACCATCAGAAAAAATTTCATTCCAATTTGGCTCCAAAGCATCATCCACAGAAATAAACTGATCGGCCCAATCAGGCCAATCATTCCTCTTATCTTGTTCATCTGCCATTAACACACCAGCAATGCTTTGCGCTTGACCATTCTGGTCAGGAACATTCTCAGAAAAATCAAGCAAACCCTGAAGGGTATCATCACTCCAAGATGCATTATTCTCATTCAAGTTATTAGTCATCACTTCTGAATGGGAAGAATCTCGAGGACCCAACAACGGTTCATCATTAGCAGACGACGAAATGAACCGAGAAAACTCAGCATTTCTCTCTTGAGACAAAGGTTGAATCAACGGAAAACCATTTCGTAATCCAGAAGATGATGAAAACAAATGCCCAACAGTGCCAGAAACTAACGGAGGGGCCTGCCTGGGAATTGGATGTCTCATGGCTTCACTATGTGAAGAACCCTGACAAGAAACAGGCAATTTGGGATACTTTTCTTCAAATGGCTTAGGAAGAACTCGATAAGATGATGACATAACTTCAGAAGCCACCCTCTTCCCTTCACTCTGTAGTAGAGAAAAACATATATCCAAAAACAAAAACACAATTACACAGAATTTCATGACCTAATCAATCATACAATCATCGAAAGCTCGTTCTATATCACAAGAACTCAACACAAATAGATCAAGAACACAAATCCAGTACAAAATTAAAAGGGGGAAACCGATAGAAACGCAAAACAATCAATAAAATTACAACCCAGAAATGAAATCAGCAAAAGAACAGTTCAAAATCACAAAATCACAAAAGGGTTAAAACAGAATCACTTACCCTAGAGATCAAAACACAAGGAGGGTTCGAAATTTCAGAGGCAGTAGCAAAGATTTGGGTTCCGATGCGCTCGATGGCTTTGTCGATTTGCCGTCAACGAGATTACACAGACACTCGCACGGATTGTTCTCTCAGAGAGAAACGTATCGGGGTGTCTCTCTGTCTTCCATGATGAACAATTCACGAATCCAATTTCGACCCTCTGATCCTTTCTGGGCGCTGATTCAACACCGCTGATTCCACATCCGATTTCCCCATACACACAAATGATTGGGCGAAGGAATTTCTCGAAAAAGAAAATTGGCCTCTGCCACACTTCTTCTTGGCTTAATTGGATAGTGAACGGCCAATTCAGAGAAAAATGTTGAACCGAACACCGAACCGAACCACAATATAATGAACCGAATCATTTCCGTTGGATTATCCATTTTTTTAATTTTTAAAAAAATATTTAATAATTTTTTAATTTTGTGTTATATTCAACATTTTTTTAATTAATAGACCTACTAAAAATTATATAATACTCACATTTATATATATATATATATATATATATATAATTAAATTATCTCATCTATTTATTTTAATCCTTAATTTTTTTAAAAATAATAAAATTTTATTGGTACAAAATATTAAAAGGCATTTTAAATAATTATATTTATGAAATTTGTTGTAAATAAGTAAATTACAAAAATTTCTGACGTGTCATATTTATATATATATATATATATATTGAAAAAGAAAAACTTTTAACTTCCTATTTTGTCCTCGAAAGTTTCATATAAAATTTAAATTAAAGAAAAAAGAAAATGACAAAAAAGGAATATTAAAAGGCAAACAATATCCTTTTACAAAAAAAAAAAATTAAGGTTGATTGGCATGAACATGAAGTCTGTCGTTGACACGAGGAATAATTGGGCGCCACAATTTCCTCTCCTCGGTGATCGATTATTCAATTTAAATCATAAATGTTGGGTTGAGTTAGGTGTTTGTTCGTTTCAGTTGGGTTAAATTTTACCGAGTCGAGTCGTGGGTTGACAGTTGACTTTTGACTTTTTTTTTTGTTGGATTCGATTGACCTGAAAATAGTATCATGAAACGGGTAAATATTTGATGTTTGACTTTTGTGAGATTTTAAATAATTCTATTCGAGTCAATCGTCAACCCAACCAGCCTGAATTTTCGAGTTAGTCCAAAAGATTTTTTTAACACAATCGTGACACTCTTACTCCCATCGGAGGCATTCACTGAGAGCAGTGTTTAATACTTAGCCTCCAATTATCAATCTACACACTATTAGCCGTAGAATCTTCCTAGATTTCTTAGATTCGTAGTTTACGTTCTATTAAGCTCTCCACACTTTTCGTTATCGTTTTTGTACATGGGCGAGTGATTATCCTTAATGTTTTAACCATCGAGGAAAGTCAACCTATTACATTTGTGAGAACAAACTTACTACAATATTTCATTTGGCTAGCGTTTTAGATGTCAAATATAAAAGGTTTTTGAACGGTTATACAGTCAAAACCTCCGTGCCCTACAATATAATCAATTTGTTTTGGCTCTTACTTTTCTTCTCATACACGAAACTCAAATGGGTCAAGTGGATATGATAACAAACAAGGAAAGGTGAGTTGTCAAACATGCACCAAGGCTAACCACACTACTTTAGAATAGCTACCTAAAGTTGCTACCATCATCTTAGCCTAAGCTCATATGCATAGCATAACTCTTCAAACGTCCTTTTTTAGATAAAGGCACGGCGTCCCTGTATGGTAGACGACCGCATCGCAATCAAAGACCATGACACGTGTATAGACTAGTAGCATATTTAATTTCCTACCCTTAGGTTAGTAGGTTGTTGTACATTTCATGTTTTAAATTATTTATCATTATTGTTTTTTTATTTTATTTATGAATTATGTTTTGAACACGTAGGACCATGGCAGTGTTTTCAACGATGACCTTATGTTTTATGTTGAAACTATGAATTTAAAGATGACGTTTTAAGAGTTATATTCTGCATATGAGTGTAGGCTAAGATGATGTTAGCGAGTTTAGGTAGCTAAAATCTAGGGTCTGAAACATGAAATGAAATGCATATCAACTTATTCTGACCTAAGTCCAGGAAATTAAATATGCTACTAGCCTATGCACGTGTCATAGTCTCTGATGATGATGCATGCTAAAATGATGACGTAGATGATGATATTTCCTTGATATGACGTTGTTAGTGCCAACGAGGACTCTGGGCCCCGAAGGGGGGGGTGAATTGTGAGATCCCACGTCAGTTGGGGAGGATAACAAAACATTCTTTATAAGAGTGTGGAAACCTCTCCCTAGCACCCTAGAAGACATGTTTTAAAAACCTTGAGGAGAAGCCTGAAAGGGAAAGCCCAAAGAGAACAATATCTGCTAGTGTTGAGCTTGGGCCGTTACAAATGATATCAGAGTCGGACATCGAGTGATGTGCCAACGAGAAGGCTGAGCCCCAAAGGGGGGTGAACACGAGGCGGTGTGCCAACAAGAATGTTGGGTTCCCGAAAGGGTGGATTGGGAGGTCCCACATCGACTAGATCAAAAGGGAATGAGTGTCAGCGAGAATGATAGGCCCCGAAGAGGGGTGGATTGTGAGATCTCACATCGACTGGGGAGGATAACGAAACATTCTTTATAAGAATTTATTTGCTCTATAAATTAGATCTCCTAAACTTGCCTCATAAATTAAATATTTTAAAAACTAAATCGAGTAAAAGTCAAGTTTATTGACTCTTTGCTCGAGAGTTTTCAATTCATGCAACTCATGCATCTTTGCAAGTTTAACCTTTATTCAGCCGGGTGAAAATATCTGCATGTTGTTCTCCACTACAAATGAACTCCACAACAATTTATCGCTTCTTGACACAATCACAGATGAAGGTGGAAGCGAGTGTCGTATTTGTTGCACCCGTGAAATATCAAATTCATCATTAATGCAATTGCAGATTTGTTGTTGACAATGAGAGTTACCGACTTCAACTCACCTCTAGTCACTTTGCTCAACAAGTCTCTCAGCCACAATGTTAGCACAACACTGCAATTATTGTCATGAACTCGACCCCACAAGAAGATAGTGTCAAAACTCGAAGCTTCTAAGATTGTCAAATGATCGAGTTTTCGTTGAGACAAATTGTCATCCCTCCAATGTTTTTTCTATCGTCGATGTCTCCGACAAAATCACTATTAGTAAAATCGACTACTTCATCAGGTTCATGAAAACAACCCTACAACCCAATTGAGCCCTCTATTTTAAGGTTATGTTGTGTACTCTATTCGGGTTGCTCAAATCACCAACTCAACCAACTCAAAATTTCGAGTTAGTCCACGATATTTTTTCAAGACTGCTCAACCTAACTTGTATACAACCCTAATTTATACTCGGGATTGACATATAAATTTTTAAATTTTAACGTTTATAGCTCTACAACTCATGGGTAAATAATTAAGTAATAACTTCTAAAGCACAGGTAATTCATGGATTTAACTTGTACTATGTCCAAGTTAGGAAAAACATTATAGGCTTTGTTGTTATTATCTTTTATATATATATATATATATATATATATATATATATATATACTCAATAAGATTATTCAAATGACTCGAGAATTTGACCAATCTAAGACTACCCAACCCAACTCGGGTTAGGTTGAATGTTTAGAAAACCAAAAATTTCGATCAATTTGTAGGTTTACATTTTCTTGTCGAGTCAACCTAAACAATGTGAAAATAGGATTACAATTCAACCTCACCCTATTTTAATTTTAAGATTATTATGAAAATTAAGAATATTTGACGGTTATAATCGATATTAGTGACGAATGTTTAATATTTGAGTTTTATAAGATTTTAGTTATTAATGTAACACGTGTTAGATGAACACGACTAAGTTTAGGGCATGACTCTAATACTACAAAGAACTCCATGGAGTCATCGAAGGCATAGTAAAACATGACTAAGACTCCAAAAGAAAAGGAGTCGAGCCTCGATTAAGGGGAGGTGTTGGATGAAAGTCCTACCATCTCGATTGGTATGAGGCATTTTGGGGAAGCCCAAAACAAAGTCAGGAGAGCTTACGCTAAAAGTGGACAATATCATACCATGGTAGAGAGTCGTGTTCATTTAACATGCAGCGTGGAAACAACGGGTTGAGTTAATCGAATCACCAACTCAACCAACCCAAAATTTCGGTCTAGTCTAAAAGATGCTCGAGTACACCCTATTTAAAAATTTCAATATTACCTTCACAATTTTATAAATTTTGAAGTAAAAAAATCATTAAAAAAATGTTTAAATAGTAAAATATAATTTATTTTTAATATATAAAATATAAAAATAGTAATTTTGGAGTTTCCACAAAAAAAAGAAAAAAAAGAAATTAATTTCCACCGCTTTTCTTCGGCAGGAAAAAACTAGAAAGCTGTGTGCGGCAATTACGCAGAATCCCTTCCTTGCAAACCAGCGGTGGTCGACTTTTTGGTATTCAGAGCCTCTCTCTTTTTGCAAATCTTCTTCCTATTTCTACTTGGTTTCTTTCATGGATTCCACAATTTGGATGAGAAATGACCAGAAATCATCAAAAGAACGCTTCTTCTACCAAGAAATTAGTCTTTCTGATCACTTGTGCCGCTCTTCTCGGTGCCGCTCTCATTGCAGATGTGCTGTGGACGTCGTCTTCCTCTTTGTCTTCCTCCTACTTTTCTATTTCGTCAAATTGGGCGATCCGGAGACCTGAGGTTTTAGTTGTACCGGATTCATCCACTGACAATGCTACTACCCGGGTGAGGCTGCTCTATTGCATCTTTTCTTCTTGCGCGCGATTTTGTTGTTTGTTTATTTAGTTTTGGATTTTTGTTGGATTTAACTGATCTTGCGAAATCATGTTGTTAGGTTGATGAAAAGCAGATTGATTCTAGGAGATTCTTACCTGGAACTTACTTTGATTTACCTGCACCTGATTTAGAATGGGAGGAAATGCCGTCAGCACCTGTGCCTCGTCTTGATGGAGCCGCGATTCAGATTAAGAATATCTTTTACGTTTTTGCAGGATATGGAACCATCGATTATGTAAGTTTTTTTTTATTCCTAGTGTTTGTAGTGCATCTTTGATTGTGCATGTATGAGTTTATGTATTGATTGCTTTCGATTCAGTTATACACCATAATACGCCTATATGAGGAAGCAGTATTTTGTATCCTCGGGCTTTTCATCTAGGAGTAAAAGATCTTAGTGTCCGACATATTTCAGATTGTCGAAGTTCTAAAAAAGAAGAAACAGCATCTTATCTC